CCGCAAAGGAGGTCTCCGCGGACTGACCTCTCCCCGCTCTGGCTGTGTTAACGCGTGACTTAAAATACCGGTTAGGTGACACGGAACGTCGGAACGTCGTTTGAGGAGAATGGTGTCTTAATGACCATTCAAACGGGCTGCTCAGGACCCCTCTGGGGGCGACTAACCGCGGGTGGCCAGCAGCCAGCTTTCCGCACGTGCTCGCTCACTTGGAAATGCCTCCAAAGGCCATGCCGGCTGGGCTGTGGGTGCCGTGGCCGGTGGGAAGGAGAGGACCACGCCGCCCATCCCCGGGGGGCTAAGCTGGGCTCCGAGGAGGGCGGCCCACGGCGCTCCCCTAGGACAGCTAATGAGCTGCTGGCCCAAGGACGTGGTCAGGGTGGGGAGAAGGCAGAGCGTGGCACGAGGTCCGAGGGGCCCTGCGAAGGGAGCAGCGGCCCCATGGCCTGACAGCAGGAGCTTCATCAAGCTGGGCCTGCACCGTCAAGAGCACAGGGCAAAAGGAAAGAGAGCTGACGAGGGGGCGCCGAGGGGGAGACCCTCGGGGGCAGAGAGAGCCCCGGAGAACGCGGGGTCACCCCAGACACAGAGAGTGGTGAGCGGTGCCCGGAGACGTCCAGACCTGGGGAGGTGAGGGCGGAGGTCACGTCAGGGGAGGCAGCTCCAGGGCAGCCGAACCACAGCAGGTGGGCGAGTGGACACCTGGGCACACAGGACGGCGTCTGCAGGGGACGTGGGGCTGGGGCAGAATCTGTTTTGCAAGATGGGACACGCTGCAGACTCTGTCGATGCTTTGAAGGAAGCCAGGAGCGGGGAGAGGTGAAGATACAGCAGGAGGGCGTGGCAGATGCCTGAGGGGTCAGCAGGGGCTGGATCCGGAGCCACATCTCCATCCAATGGGACCAAGGACGGCGATGCCAGCGAATCCTCAGGCCCCTCCTGGGAGGTCAAGAGGCTTTCCTGCCTCCAGTCTGCCTCGGACACGGACCCCTGCCCCGCACGGGCCAGCACTCACAGCACCGCCACCACTCTTTGGGTAGAACCGGCCACCTTATTACACCCTCGGCCCCCAGTTCAGCCGGACGCTGAAAAGCCCCTGCTGGACTGCTCCCCCTGGTACCTTTCAGGGCCTGATGTGAGTGTCTTTCCCTGGCCTAGCGGTCCTCCCTTGCTACAATACAAGCTCCACGGAAAGAGAGATTCTCATCCACGAGGTCCACTGCTGTGCCTGGAACCGTTTCCGGCACACAGATGGGGCACAGCACACATGTATCTAATTTGTTGAATGAGTGAATACATATCAACGAGCTGGTGAACACACAACGAGTGGATGGACACTTTCGTAGGCCAGGCACCATGCCCAGAGCTTTCGCACACACGAGCCCACGCAGGAGGCGACAGCACCATCCCCATTTCACAGATGGAAAATCGAGGCCTACAGAAGGGAATTCATCTCGAGCCCTGGCCTCTTTGCTCACAGAGCCTGCTTTCCTCAACTCCCTGCTATGCTGTGCCCCAAAGGACGGGTGGCTCGGTTGATGTCATGGTTTTGGTGGTGGAAGCCCACACTTTGCCACTGGAATCTGCTCTGCCAAGCGGTCTGGGGGTGGAGGGGGGAATCCTCTGAAAGTGAGGGGCGGCCGCTGGAGAGGGACCGGTGACTGGAGAAGTTTTGAGATGGTCTCTGCAGACAATGGGAGAATGAGGTGACCACTGCCTGGGGGGGGGTGGTGAGGGTGGGCGACAGGACCTCAGTGGTGCCACACACCCGTAACCCAGAAACCTTGCCTGTGGGTCCCCCCAAGCCCCAGGACACGAGAGGAGCTGGCCCAGGGCTGTGCTCTTAGGCAAAAGCTCTCTGGGCCTCTGGCTCCTCATGTGGAAAACAGAAGCCATCACGTCTGACTCAACGGAACAGCTCGTGGAAAGAGCAGGTTCTCCAATGACAGTGGGCAGCAAATCACTCGAGGCACTAATTCGTGTCTAATTCGTTCGTTCTGTTAGATTCCGAGGTTACAGACGGTTTCACTCATTTCCGTGTCCCCAGCACCTGGCATCATTCTCAGGACAGACATGCTAGACACGTTATAAAACTCTGCCACACTGAACAAAGGTTTCTATCTAATGCACTGGCATCAAATGAGGACGTGGCTCCGAAGAGATCAAAAGAACTGAACTCATTACACTCAGATTTTGCACAAGGGGGGAAAGAAGAGAGACTCAGTGTTTCCACCACCTTTGAAAAAGTTCAGTGAAAGACATAAGAAAATTCCACGTCCGTGAACTTAAAACACAGCCAAGAAGAGTGTTTGAAATGGACACGGGAGCTGCGTCTCTGCGGTGCTGATGCTGGGGACGACGGAGGAGCAGTGACCTGAGGAAGCGACCCCCATCTCTCTCCCGGGGAGCGGCAGGTGTTACCTGCGGACTCGACGTCCCTGGCCGGGGCTCGATGGCCAGCCCCAGGGTGACCCCGCCGGCCAGGGCTTTCTTGAGGCTCTCCTTGACCTCTGTCAGCTCCAGCTCCAGGTTGACGCGCTCCGTCTCCCTCTGCTTGCATTCCTCCTCCAGCTTCTTCAGCTTCTCTTCCAGGATCACCTGGGTCTTCCTGCCTGAAATCCCAGAGAAACACGACTGCTCCAGCCAATGGCAAAGGTGTCAAGATAACAGAGGACGGACATGTGGTGCCCCTGAAAGGAGCTCCGCACACTCTGGGGGTTGAGCTCCCCTGCCTAGGGTCCTTCCCACAAAACTCAAATCCAGCTGTTCCTGAAAGGAGCAGGGTCCCTTCCTAACTGCTCTCTTTTGCTGCTGCTGGAAGAATACGGACCAGGAAGCGTGGGACCTTGATTCTCACAAATGCCAGGAGTTTGGGGTCTGGGCCCAATACACTCATTTCGTGTGTGTGTGTGTGTGTGTGTGTGTGCATGTGTGTGTGTGCGTGTGTGTGTGTGTGTGTGTGCGCGCGCGGTACGCGGGCCTCTCACTGTTGTGGCCCCTCCCGTTGCGGAGCACAGGCTCCGGACACACAGGCTCAGTGGCCATGGCTCACGGGCCCAGCCGCTCCACAGCATGTGGGATCTTCCCAGACTGGGCCACAAACCCGCGTCCCCGGCATCGGCAGGCGGACTCTCAACCACTGCGCCACCAGGGAAGCCCCTCATTTTATTTTTAATTTTTTTTAACATCTTTATTGGAGTATTATTGCTTTAAAATGGTGTGTTAGTTTCTGCTTTATAACATAGTGAATCAGCTACACATATACATGTATCCCCACGTCCCCTCCCTGTTGCGTCTCCCTCCCACCCTCCCTATCCCACCCCTCTAGGTGGTCACAGAGCACCGAGCTGATCTCCCTGTGCTATGCGGCTGCCTCCCACTAGCTAGTTATTTCACATTTGGTAGTGTATATATGTCCATGCCACTCTCTCACTTCGTCCCAGCTTACCCTTCCCCCTCCCCATGTCCTCAAGTCCATTCTCTACGTCTGCGTCTTTATTCCTGTCTTGCCCCTAGGTTCTTCAGAACCATTTTTTTGTTTTTTTAGATTCCATATATATGTGTTAGCTTACAGTATTTGTCCTTCTCTTTCTGACTTACTTCACTCTGTATGACAGTCTCTAGGTCCATCCACCTCACTACACATAACTCAGTTTCATTTCTTTTTTATGGCTGAGTAATATTCCATTGTATATATGAATACACTCATTTTAAAATGAGGAACTTGGCCTAGGTGGCTTCCAAAGGTGCCACTGACTTGAAAAGTCCGAATATGTTTCTCTACTCTGAGTCACCTTACTTGCCCCCGTGGTCAGAATACAGTAGAGCTTGCATCTCCATAGCATATAGCACATTCGCTTTACTCATCTTATTCGGAATGTGTTACGGTGGCACAGGAAGGCCGGCAGTTTGCCCACCGGACAGATAAGGAAAGCGATCCCGAGGGTTAACCGACTTGTGAGCACGGCCCTGGCCGACCGCCTGGTAGCACGTGACAATCCCTTTTTCAAGGCCCGAAGCTGGTCTCGTCTTTCTGCATCTTCACTGTCCTACAAACTGGAAACAACAGCGGGAAGAAATTCCCCTCCTGCCCTGCTGACCTGGAGGCTCCCGTCCAGTTCTCTGACGGAGCCTCTGATCCCCCGGGGGGGCGCCTCATGGGAGATGCCACCTCCTGGCCCTCCTACAGGCTGTCTCGAACAGGCTCAGCCCACACCCAGCCTCGCGTTCTTTAAACTCTGAAAGCACTTTCTTTCTTAAAAAACCATATAGGCACGAGGTCAGGAAAGGCTGGACCTGACGACTAACTGCTGTAACACGCCAGCTCCTCCGGCACAGAAGCCGCTGGAAAGCAGGTTCTTCCTCTCGGGATCATCCTGGTCTCTACATTCCTCCTCCTCAACCCCCGAGGCCGGAAACTGAAACCTAGAGAGTCGGCCTTGCCCCAGCCTCCGACTCAGTCTTGAGCTGAGGAGACATACATTTCAGCAGCCCCAGCGCCGGAGCCAGGAACCACACGGCCAGCTCCTGCCAAGGAGGACAGACGGGCTGATCCAGAGACACGGCTGTGGTCCTCACCCGCGCCTCCCTCTTCTTTCCTCTCTGGGGTTGTGCCCGCTTCCCCGGCTCCCTTCCACGAATCCATCACGGTCTGGCCCTCACCAGTCCCTCCTCAGGGAACGGAGGGCTCTTTCTACCCACGCAAAGACCTCTCAGCTGGGCTTCTGAGTGTTACCCGTCCTCCTGCTGAGACACCACCCCTCACACACAGTGACCCTAACTCCTGAGCCCGGAGGCTTGTGCTCCCAACGAGCTCTGCCGTCAGCCCCCAAGGCTGGGACAGCTCCCCGGCACCTACCCAGCCTCAGCCAGCGAGTTGAGGTCCAGGCCCGGCCTCCTCCTGCCTGGTCCATTATTCCACATTGTGGCACCTGCCCTGGGCTTACCACCAAGGCTGCCGAACTGCAAGAAGCACTGCGTGGAATGACACGGTCTTACTAAGAGGAGAGCCTCGCGAGGTTCAGAGCCCAGGGCGCAAGAGGATAAGCCTAGACTCTGGCACCAGCAGAAGCAGGCCCGTCGTACCGGTGTTCACTCCGATGGCGGCCCTCAGGCCCTTCCTCCCCTCCCGCAACTGGGCCAGCCTGTCCCGCAGGCCTTCCCGCCTCTTCAGCAGCTCCTCCTCTTTGGCCTGCAGCCGCTTGGCATCCGCTTCCACCCGGTTCTTGCCGTATTTGTACTGGTCAGCGTCTTGAAAAGAAAAAGCACCAACAGGAAATTAGGTTTAACCAAGTAGATGATAGGGTAATTCATAAAGCCTGTTTAATCAGCCTACTCAGTGAAATAAACTCAAAGCTAGTCACTTTGCTAATTCAACAAGAAAGACAGCAGGACAGGTTTGAACCAAACAGAAAAGTGACCATTTCAGATTATCCAATATTCTTCGAAACAAATTTTTTTTTTTTTTTTTTTGGCGGTCCGCGGGCCTCTCACTGTTGTGGCCTCTCCCGCTGCGGAGCACAGGCTCCGGACGCGTAGGCTCAGCGGCCGTGGCTCACGGGCCCAGCTGCTCCGCGGCACGTGGGATCCTCTCGGACCGGGGCACGAACCCGCGTCCCCTGCCTCGGCAGGCGGACTCTCAACCACTGCGCCACCAGGGAAGCCCCTTTGAAACAAATTTTTAAAATGAAAATAGAATGTTAGGAAATTCCTTTAACGCCTCCCTTTGAGGCATGCAACACATAATCTTCAGCAAGGTCGAGTGTGAACAAAACATTCTGTGATCTGAAAAGAGAGGGTCTGCCGACATCAGAAATGATCTCTTGATGTGTGCAGTTCTCTGTAGTTTTCCAAACATTCCATTACACTGTCACGCCTGATCCTTACAACTGTGCCGTCCAACTCCTTTGCTGACCTGACGGCGCTATCCCCACCTCCAGTGGGGTGGGTACCTGGCATGGATGGAGCACACGATAAATATCCGCTGAGTGAGTGACTGAGCAAATTAGAAAATGAAGGGGCACCCAGAGCAGTGTCTGGAGCCTGACTGCCTAGGTGGGAATCCCAGCTTTTGCCACTTGAGCTGTGTGACCTTCAACAAGGCACTTCATCTCTCCGTGTCTCAGTTTCCTCATCTGTGCAATGGGGGTAATAAGAGCAGGTTCACAGGGTTGTTATGAGGACTAAAGTAACACTTACACAGAACTCTGAGCAAGCACAGGATGGGCACTATGTAAATGCTCATTAAATAAAGTGAGTGGATAAATGAATGAAGAGGAAACCAGCCTTAAGGAAAATTTAGAGATTTGGCCAACATCACACTACTAGTTAATAGTACGTTAAAATCCCGACCCAACGCTCTTGTCCTCGAATTATTCTGGCCTTTCAATAGCAATAAGGGCTCACGATTCTGCAGCTTCTGTGGCCTCCCAACGGCCTCTGACAGCGAACGGCTCAAACCTGATGATGACCCAAGGCCTCCTGCACCTCCTACACCTCCTGCACCTGTGAGCTCACATTCCATGGTATATACCATGTTGGTTTATTTGCATGTCTGACTCCCTTATTAGACTAGAAAGGACTTCTGGGGAGAAGCCATGGAGGGTGGTATAATGGTTAATAATAAAGGCAGTTGACCAGGGAAGAGCCCATGATTGTGGACAAGCAATTAATCCCCCGAAGGCTCAGCTTCACCCTCTATAAAGCGGAAGTGCTAAGGCCTAACTTGTGGGGTTAAAAAAAAAATTCGATACATGTACTAAAACCCACCTAACAGAATCATGTGATGCCCGGGCCGTGGTGGACACTCCCTAGCAGCTCTCATCCCTGGCAGTGATAACAGAGCCCCCGGAACCCTGTCCACTCTGCCAGACAATGGTGAGCCATTTCTAACGATTTCTAGCACCTGTCCTAAACACCGAATTTGCCGATTCTTACAATGCAAACCATTGTGACTGCATGAAAACTGCATTTATGAAGGCAGGTACAAAGTCATCACTGCCCGCTCCATCTTCCCCTCTCTAAAAACCAACCAACCCCACACACAGAATGATATTAAAAGGATCGCAGCATGAGGATGACCAAATCAACAACTTGAAACTAAAGCAGTGCTCTTAGTGGTCTGGGTAGCCACATGTTCTATAAACAGAGCACAGCCCAAACTCTGTCCACTCATTTCGGATCTAAGATGTTTCCCCGACAAACCTGTATGCAATCACTTACCACCTTCCACATCATTTGGTCCCCATTCAATAAACCCCATCCAGGCTATAATGCAACTGCCTGAATTCAGCAGAAAACACAGAGCACAATTATTTTTCCCTTTTTTCGTCATTGGATGTCACCAAAGTTAATAAAAATTCCCTCCAGAAGCCCTCATAGAATACAGGAATGCATTACCTAAGAAATAAAATAAGCACAGGTGCTGAGAGAGAAAGGGATGTTATGCAGACAGAGATTTCTTGCGGTTCAGGTCTCACATAACAAAGCTTTTCAGACACGTTACTCCCTCCCCCCACCTGCCCCTCCCCAGGTGGACAACACTCAAATTTTAAGGGAAAACTGCATAAGGGAAATAAGATTTGCCAGAAAAATAAGGTGAAAAAAGAAGCACAGTAAACGAATGATGAGGAGGGTTTGGCCCAACTGCCTGCTTGAATGTGTGTCCGAGGAGAAGGGGAGCACAGGTGAGCTGATGTCAAGAAAGCAAGACCAAAAGACAACCCTCAGGATGGGAGAAGATATTTGCAAACGAAGCAACTGACAAAGGACTAATCTCCAAAATTTACAAGCAGCTCATGCAGCTCAATAGCAAAAAAACAAACAACCCAATCCAAAAATGGGCAGAAGACCTAAATAGACATTTCTCTAAAGAAGATATACAGATTTCCAACAAACACATGAAAGAATGCTCACCATCACTAATCATTAGAGAAATGCAAGTCAAAGCTACAATGAGGTATCACCTCACACCAGTCAGAATGGCCATCATCAGAAAATCTACAAACAACAAATGGTGGAGAGGGTGTGGAGAAAAGGGAACCCTCTTGCACTGTTGGTGGGAATGTAAACTGATACAGCCACTATGGAGAACAGTATGGAGGTTCCTTAAAAAACTAAAAATAGAACTACCAAACGACCCAGCAATCCCACTACTGGGCATATACCCTGAGAAAACCATAATTCAAAGAGACTCATGTACCACAATGTTCATTCCTTACAGACCCTGACAGTCTCCCGTGCTCTGAGGTACACGAGTTACCCCAACTATTTCAGCCACAGAAACCACAGCAGCCACCTGTCTACACCTCTAACACACAGAGGCTGGCTTCAGAGAGTCTATGTGACTCAACCCAAGTCACTCACTCACTCAGCAGATCAGGGACACAAACCGAGGTGTCCCGACCCACCGTCCAGGGCCACTCACAGCAGCACTGCCAGCTGCACCCGCAAGCTGCCTCACACGGAAACACGCATAGCCAATTCTAGAGTTAAACCAGCTTTGCCTTTCCTTGTATATGCGACAGTTATAAAAATCGTGGGTTAAAAATCGTGGTCACTCCTCAGTCCAGCTCAATCCAGCAAACGAGGAAGGATGCAGATGCAAATGGTGCCATCTCTCCAGCTGGCCCCCCAACCTGGCATTCTCCACCTGGCCAGGTGAGGGAGGAAGGTGGCTAGACAGCCCCAACTCTGCACACTGCACCCAAAGCTAGAACGAGGGAAATCGAAGGATCAACTTACTTGAAGGCGTTCGCTTCACGCCAGCCGCTGAATCAGCTTTTTTTTGCTGACTGCTCAGAGCCTTGCCTTTTCCCGTAACCCCGTTGGATGCCACGGGGGGCGGCTTTTTACCCTTCAACTGTTGAAATAAACAAATGACAGAATTAAAAACAAACAGACAAAAACCTTGGGGTTTTTGCAGTAAATTGTTTCGGTCCCTAGCTCTTCAAGTAGAACGGAGCATAGGCAGAAAAAAATGCGGATAGTAGAAAACCAGTCTGGTTTCCCAACACTGCACTGCTGTGACTTTCCCAGAGCAGCCAAGAAGGTTCTAGCACCGAGGTTCAAAACAAACGAGGTACACTAGGATGTCTTCGGCTGGAACACACCAAAAGTCACCTATTTCGACCAGGAGATCACACACGCCGACCAAGACACTGGCACAGACAGTGGGTATCTGAGAGCATTTGGTTGACATTTTACTAAAAGTTTGTGTTTCCAGAGATAAACAGCTTTAATGTTGGTGGAATGCTCTTCGGGCAAGAAGCATGGCCGTGCACTTAGGAGTTTAACTCCCAGGGTTTCTATACTGATGTCCTAATTGGATAAATAACCACCTGTTGATTCACTGACGGGGTCTGAGGAAGGAAGCAAAAGAGGCAAAATACAGAAACAGCATGAACTAGATTTTAACTAACCACAGGGTTTTTAAAAAAATTCAACATACCCCTCACTTCTTTGACGGCTGCAAGCCGACCCATGTTGCATTTTGCTTAAGTGGTGCACGTGTACCTTGGTTGGGTCAGAAGTCCAGCCGAACGGCAAAGGCTGACCGTACACGTCCAAGCCTGAGCTTCTCTGCCCCAGCACGTTTCTTACTGTTGTGGGCCTGCGTTTTGGAAGCTTCAAATTCCCGTTCCGTCGTAGGAGACGCTGAGCACATCATTAACGCTTTCTGAGCCTCCGTGTGCTCATTTAAAAATATAAAGATACTGCTGTCTCCCACACGGTTCCTCAGGTTAACTGACACAGCACACACACCTACAGCACATATACGGTAAGTGTGTAGGGAGTGTGAGCTCTCTCCATTAAACAGTAGGTCCCCCATTCAAACGGCCAAATGAGGACACGAAAGCTAAAGGTCAACGGCTTGCAAATGTGTTTCCTACTTGAAATAAAAATGAACAAAATCCAAACATACATGAACCACGTACCGAATGACTGATTCCAAACTAATCTGGGGACAATCCAAATGTACAAGACAGTGTATTTTGTCCCATAAGTTTGACCCGAGGGAACTCTAATACCAATAAAAAGACAGATAAATACATCGCCAGAGACACATTCACTTAGTGCGTGAAGCACGTGACCTACCAGGCTCTTTAGTAAATACTCAAAAGAACTAGAAGCCAATGGCTCCCATGTCTGACCATACATGGGCCTGGGCCCCTCAGATTCAGCCAATGAGAATCTCTAACAGTTGTTATAAATAAAAAACAAGCAAAAATCTTCTCACGTGACTTTGACGAAAAGAATTGGTTTCGAAGAACTGCTGTAACTCTCTGAAATTCTAGAATCTTTACTTGGCACTCATCATTTTCTGGAGATTACTCCAAAAATGGAAGGCAAAGAAAATACCTAAAAACGTGCCCCTCTGCTTTATGTTTGTAGAATATTCTTCCATGTGGCGCTTAGATCTTTACTCAAAGCATAAAAAAATCCTAGGTTGACACGCATGAAAACACAAAATTATATTTACACTGAAATGTTACCGTTTTTGCCACCAATACGAGGTGTGAGATGAACGATAGTTCAATATCAAGGTTACTGACCATTCAATTATAATTCCAAATCCTTATTATCTACTTGGTTTTAGGGAGTACATTGTGGGAAAATACTGTAGTCCTCGGAATAATCCTATTTAGTGTTTAAAGATCGAAAAGCAATTGCCACGTGAAGCCCACCATTCCCCACTTACGTGTTATGGAAACACAGGAAAGGAACTTGCAGCTCAAAAATCTTCTGAAAACGTTTACTGTCCCACTGTCCCTGTCCTCTTTAACATCATTGCCTTTAATTGCCGTAATTCACAAAATCCACTGGGGAACTTCCCAAGAATGGAAAGAGAGCCAGGCACAGGCAAAGAAATACAGAACGTAAACCATGAACTGGTTAGGTGTACAGTACGTCCCCTACATACGAACGAGTTCTGTTCCAAGAGCGCATTCGTAAGTCCAATTTGTTTGTAAAGTTAGCCTGGGTACCCAACTAACACAATCGGCTAAATAGTACTGTACTGTAATAGGTTTCCAATACTTGTATAGGTTTATATAATAGGTTAGTAATACTTGTATAGGTTTATGTAGTAGGTTTATAATCACACAAATAACACATAAAAAACAAACACAAAAAATAAAGAAAACATTTTTAATCTTACAGTACAGGACCTTAAAAAGTACAGTGGTACAGTACAACAGCTGGCATACAGGGGCATGTTTGCATCCTTAAAAAGTTCACAACTTGAAGGTTAGTATGTAGGGGACTTACTGTATTTAATCCGCTCCTGGGTGGCCAAACGTTGTGTATTTGCAGATTCTATTCTAGTTGAGGGAAAAAAACTGCGCTTTACCCTTGATGGGGCTCACTGCCCACAACCTGGTGAATAGACTCTCACTGCAAAGCCCTGAGGGAGGACCGTGACTTAAGGCGATTCTAGAAGACAGAATGAGATGCTGTACCTGTGAGCTGAGCCCGAGAGATGCCCTCCCCAGAGAAGAGGTGTTAGTGACAGACGGGGAGGACGGCGGGCCGGAAGAGGCAGGGTGTTTGTAGTGGTTACAGGACAGCTTGTCAGGAGATGGCCTAGCGGCCTTCCTGTCAGCAGGAGGGCACCGAGCAAAGATTTTCGGAGACGGCAAGTTATCGTACAGGACCGCGTTATCATAGAGCGCCTCTTCTCCCAGGCCTCGGCCACGGGGAGCGGGAAAGCCACCGTCGGGTCCCCACTGTAACACACACAGCTTGTCGTTAGAGCCTCGGCCACAGGAAGCAAAGCACATTGAGATGTTAATAGCAAGCACCCACCAAAAACGTGCACGTACCCCCAATAAAACACACACACTCAACTAGGTGGACTGATTCAGAAGAACTTTTCTACCTTTGGGGACTTAAGGATTCTTTTTTCCTTAAATCGTTCCCAAGGCCGTTGGCTTATGATAATTTTGTTTTGTTTTGTTTGTTAAAGCAGGCAAAAGATATATATATATACATATATATATATTTGACATTTCTTTAAAGAACTGGATTTTGGAAGTCCTCCTGACCCAGAAAGCTGAAGCAATGTGATGTGACAAAAGGAATGCTGGACTGGGGTCCGTCCGGAGACCGGGGGCTCTGATTCTACTGAGAAAACACGTCAAAATCCCAGCAAAGCACTTTACCTTTTTTTTTTTTTTTAAATACTGACAGATATTATTATCTGTATTTTATTACTATTATTATTTTTTTGGCTGTGTTGGGTCTTAGTTATGGCACGCAGGCTTTTCGTTGCGGCGCGTAGGCTTCTCTCTAGTTGCGGCACACGGGCTCTCTAGTTGTGACGTGTGGGCTCAGTAGTTGCAGCGCGCGGGCTTAGTTGCCCCGTGGCACGTGGGACCTTAGTTCCCCGACCAGGGATCGAACCCGCATCCCCTGTATTGGAAGGCGGATTCTCAACCACTGGACCACCAGGGAAGTCCCCAAAGCACCTTATCTTATTTCACAGTAAAAATGACTCAAATAATTCTCACAGGAATCTCATGAAGTAGGGGGAAACTGAGGCAGAGAGGTCACACAGCTGTAAGAGGCAGAGCTGGATTAGAGCTGTGCTCATAACTACACACTGCTTGGGGTCTGAACCTCAGGCTCCTCCAGGATAGGATGAGGGGCTCGATGCCAGAACATCTCTGGACCCTTCCAAGCCTGCTATGTGGGCATCGGGGATTTAAGTTGTACGGGTGACTGTCAGCGTCACCCCTGTTCCACACTTGGTTATGCCTGAAGAAAGTGCAGTAACCAAAAACACAGGCTGTTAAAAGAAAGAAATCGAATAATCATAGAAAATAGGATGTTTCATACTATAAATGATAGAATGGCATTACTTTAGTGGAAAACCTTTTTACAAAGGATTAAAATAGCTACAAGCCACTTTAGAACATGGACATTAAAGTATAAATTAAAACCGAAACTTACAACCACAGCCAGATTCTCTTACGTTTTAAAGGAACTGCTTTCATTTTTTTTAAAAAAAGAGAAAATATTAATTCATATACTATACTTATCTTACTCTATTTTTTATATCCTTCTTGCTGAGTTCCTTTCTGCCAGGATGTAATTACAGCCTTTTGTTATGAAAATAGAAAAGGTTTAAAATTTCATAGTAAGAGTGTTTTTTATTCCTTTGCAATCACTTCAGTGAGTCTATTTTTGTGATGCTGGGGACCCACCTACAACCTAAAAATAATGGTACATGTAGATAAACGTGGATGTGAGTTTCATAATGACAACCTGGCATATATTTGTCCAGGGTTATTAAAATGGTCTAGACCAGACCATCATTTTCCTAAAATACCAAAGGATTAAGTCACATGGAAGACTTAGAAAACAAACACCAGAGAACTTCTAGATTAAAAGTGTGTGTGTGCCCGTCAGAAGATCCTTTTTGAGATTCACTTCCATTTAGGCCTCAGGGGGAACGCTGAGTGGGTAAGAATTACTGAAGTTGAAACACTGCTAAAATGTCAGGTATTGGCTCAAAAGTATGAACCTTATAAAACTGAAAAGTGCAGAGGCTCTTGCAAAACAAAGGGCCCAGTCACAGAGCCCAGCAAGTAGAACAACAGTTTAAAGAGAGGCCTGAACGTCAAGGAAGCCCTCAACAAGCAAATGAGCCACAAACGCTGCGCACTGGATGTTCTGTCTTAATCACCTATGTCGTCCGCCCAGCGATGTACACGCAGAAACGATTCCTAAACGTACAGCCTTGGAGAAGGGCAGCTTTTCATTTCTAAACCAGCTTAAGCTGTGCATGACCTAAAGAAAGCTCATTCCTGGGGGTGCCTGAACTTGTGTAGTATTAACAGGAATGAAGGGATGGGGGAACTAGACCAGCGTTTGTGTAGGCCCACGGTTTCTCTCAACCACATGCACGGGGAGAAACCCCTCTGGGGAAAGGTACACGAGAGGGCCTTCGGGCAGGAAGATTCAGGGACAGGTTTGCGTGTTTTATCTTTCCAAAAAAGCTGGCGCTGAGATCAAGGCTCAGAGGAGCAGACTGTCCCACGAGGATGAGGTGGCGGTCGGGTCTACGATAAGGGCAGGTTCCACCAAGCCCAGCAAGCAGAGGCCGAGAGCCGGGCCTTCTTAGAAAGGGCACAGCGACCAGGACGCAGGGGCGCAGAGACTGGGCTGGGACCTGCTCCTGTCGGGCCACCGCGGGCTTTCCCCGTGTGTGTGGCTCCCACGAGACTCTCTGCAGGGTGGACGGCTACGGCCACAGTGGGCACCAGGGCCCCTCCAGCCCTGCAGACCCCGAGGCGAAGGTGGTGGTGAGAACGGGGAGGGGCAAGGGGCCTAACGTGTTCTCGCTGTGGGACAGGACCCATGTCCCAGTCACCCCAGACCACCCCGAACTCAGAGGGGACGCCATCCCATGGGCTTTGCAGCTGGGACGGGATTGCAATGTGTGCCCGCGCCCCGACACCCAGGTCCTAACATGAGCCCCTTTCACGTTAAGCTGCACTTGAACGCGCTCCTTCCTCCAGGCTCCCCTCCTTCTCTACCAGATGGGGGCCCCAGCTACAAGCGCACCCCACCCGGAGGACGCGGGACAGTGTCTGGAGCTGGCAGTATGGTCATTACTCTGCGGCGCCTCCTCTCCGATGGTGATTTCTGACGGTGTTTAATGGCATTGACAGGAATGACAAACTGTCTACTGGTGCCCGATTACCTGCGTGTTCAGATGCGGATGAAGATGAACAGGGTGTCAAAAAGGAGGGAGATGGGGTGGGGTTTTCATCTTGCCTCAGAGCGTAAGAAAGCTTTCTCTCATTTGGATAGAAAGCAGGGGTGTAAGTCACAGAGATCCGCAGACCCCCGCCTTCCCGCACAGCTGACCCCGCTCTGCACGCGGCGCACTCACCGAGCCGCTGATGCAGGGGACATCGTCGTAGTGCAGCGCCGTCCCGCTGGGGTGTGCGTAGCCGTTGGCGGTGCTCCCTACATACGGATTAGTGGACAGAACACGCCTGTTCATGAAACTGAAAGAGAGGAAACGAGTTACAACCCTCCAATTGATCACCAAGGCTTCCAGGAGCTCTGATGGATGCTCAGGCTCTGTCCGAGGCCGCAGGGTACAGAAATGTTAGCACAGGACCCAGGCAGAATCGGGTGTTCCTACAGCCGTGGGGCAGACTCCTCACCTGTAGGACAGGACACCACCCGCCCGGAGGACTGCGGCCCGGACCCATGATGACCCTGCCGGATACCCAGAGCAAGGCCTGCACACACCCGGCACTCAACAAATAACCACCATTTGTGTTAGCGGCCTGCTTCTGTCACCAAAGCTGTACTGGAACACCTTTCTTTACCTGGACTCTTCGTTGACGAATCGTCTGTGGCTGCTTTTTATTTCACATGCCTCTTTCATAAGCCTGTTAATTCTCAAAGGTAGAGACCATCTGGCCTGCAAAACTAAAGTATCAATATTTGCTCTCTGGCCTTTTTCAGGAAAAGTCCACGGACCTGTTCTATAAGCATTTTAGAACGTCTATCCCACAGCATTTCTTGAGTTCTCAGTGTTTGCTCAGCGTCACTACCCACCTTCCCCTCTGCGCTGCACGGCCCTGAACTTCTTGGAGCCTCTGACAGTGGCCACCTCCGTCCCTCGTGTCACGGCTCTGCTCAAAGCCCCAGCGGCTCCGAGAACAATCCAGGGCTGCGTGGCCTGCGAGGCTCTGAGCGCCATGTCCGCTGCCTTCACCCCAGGCTGCTGGCAGCTCTCGCTTGCTGGCCAAGGGCACCCCCTCTGCCCACAGCGCTTCTCTGAGACCCCTCCTTCTTTCAGTCTCGGTGGGAACTTCCCGATCACCCCAACCTCCCACCTCTGCGTCCCTGTCCTGTCCCCTACTCCTTCCTACCACTAATCACCACCTAACATGTTGCACGATCGTGTGTCTACTGTCTGCTTTCCTCACTGGAACATGAGCTTCAGGAGGACACGGCCTTTGCCAATTCTGTTCATCCAGCACACAAAAGGTGCTTGGCAAGTACGAGCTGCACGAATGAATGAACACGGGAATGAATGAAGGAAGGAATGTGTGAATGGTTTGCTCGTGATGTTATAAGCAAAAAACCTCAATGCCTAGGGAAGAAACAACCTAGATAACATGTTTCTCCTAATTGGGAAAACTAAGACAGGCTGAAATGAAAAAAATAGATTTTGGGTTTTTTTTTTCCAATTTTGCTTCTTGGGATCTTACATTTCTATGGTAACTAGATGAATCAAAAAGAGAGCAAATGAGAAAAAGTGAAGTCGGTAAGAGGGGAGGTGAGAACTGCCTCTCTGACAAGAGGTCTTGCAACAGAACTCCACTGGGATTTCTGGTTCTGAAGAGGATGAGAGGAAGGGGCTGTGAAGGGTCAGCCCCCAGGCTCAAGCTGCAGTTTCCACTCACCCAGCCCTGGCTGCAGGAAGGAGGCTCAGGTGTCCCTCTGCTGGGACAAAACGGCATGCACGGCGAGTCCCACCCTGGACACGGTGTTCTCTTTAATTTACAAAATAACTCTTCCTGCTCTTTTCTGATACAAAAATGTATATCATTACTCTATACTTAAAATATATCAACATATATTTAGGAAAAGAAAATGTACAGAAAAGAAAGAATACAAGAAAGAAAGATTCTCCTTGTTTTTAGACACATATTTGAAGTTTTCTGGTTTAAACATCCCGTTTGAGGGTATTTTGGGGGTGAGGGTTTGGTCACGTGAGAGGCAGGACATGGGATGACCACGCCCTCCCCATGCCTGTGGTCCCAGGACGCTCCACTGCCCGTGAGCACTGATACCCGGATCTGATCCACATCCTGGCAGACGGACCCCCTGCCCAGGGACTGTCTCCTGCCTGGTCTGTGTCTCTGGTTTCTGGCGCCCAGCCTGGCACCCACACTGGGACACAGATGCCAGGAAGGAGCGTGGACCATGAAGGGGCAGGACAGATGCTCACTCACTTGGAACAGACACCAGCAGGATGCTTCTGACCCGCGGAACATAAGGGAAGGTCACAGACACACAGGATGTCCTGTCCCAGCTGGAAGAGACCTCGGCCACCAGCTAGGCTGCCCCTCATCTCACAGAGAGGGACCTGGGACCCCAAACCAAGTCTCTGGGCCCGAAACAGCGAGTGGATCCAAGACCGAGTAAGAGGCCCCACACCTTCCGGCCTGGCACTCTTCCTAAAATAGGACTGTTAGCCAAATAGGAAAGTGGAAATGAGATGAGAGACCATATGCCACTTGTTAAACCAAAAACATAAGACAGAAAAAAAAAAAAAAGTATAGGTAAAATATACATAACAGAAATGTCACCATCTTAACGTTTCTTTAAATATTTTATTTATTTATTTATTTATTCATTTGGCTGCACCGGGTCTTAGTTGCGGCACGTGGGATCTAGTTCCCCGACCATCTTAACCACTTTTAAGTGTACAGGTCTGGGGCGCTAAGTACATTCACACTGTTGTACAGCCATCACCACCACCCACCTCCAAAACTTGTCATCTTCCCAAAAAGCTGAAGTGCTGTCTCCCCCACTCCCTGGCGCTGGCACCCAGCACCCAGCACCCCAATTCTTGCCTCTATGGATTTGCCTACTCTGGTACCTCACCTAAGTGGATCACCCAGTATGTGTCCTCTCGTGTCTGGCTTATTTCACTTAGCGTTAATACCTTCAAGGTTCATTCATGTTTTCAGGAAATATATTTTAGAATAAAACCTCCCAGGGATTCAGATGAGAGGGTGACTCAAGGTGAAAGTTTGCTGTCAGTCTGCCTGCCCCCCTCACCGTGTCCACACTGATCTACCGCTTTTATCACCATCAATGTTGTCACAGCTTTCTTATGGGGCTCCAACCCAGCGTGACTTGAAAAGAGTTCCAGAAGAAAGTCTCAGAGTATTTGCCCTGTATCATATCATCTATATACATCTCATTTAAACACAGGCCGCAGGAAAGCATGTTTCAAATGTTTACCATTATTAATACTCTTAAACAGACCACTTTTTCTGGGAGACTTTACATTACTATCATTGCTTTTACTGTCCTCTTCCCAAAATACACCGTTGACCTTTCTCCCGCAGACATAATCCAATGTACAAAAATTTCCCCTAATAACCCTGAGAGGATTCATTAACTGGCTGACAATTTACATAAAGGCAAAAATTAATTCAACCTCAGATTATTTACCACATTGGCAAGCTACCATATTTTATGGTTTGAACGCTGTTTCCTTGTTAAATCTCTTCTCTCAATTTTTACAGAAGGTTTGGCAGAAAACTAATAAATAAAAATAAACTTTATTGCTAAGTGACATCTCCTACAAAGGTTTTTCCTATAAAGGTTTTAATGGGGTAGCAAAGACTCCTGCAGCCACAAACTCATTACATGCATACTTTTAATAAATCAGTTTTCAGAATTGCAATCTACATTCCTTTCTCGAAAATGTGACCTTCCCACATTTGGTTTAGATGAATATTCCACACCCATTTGTGCTCTAGGGGAAATATTTTTAGTCAGGGTTTCTCTTAGATGTGGTCATCAGTTTGCTTATTATCGCTGAAGTTACACGTGGACTTAGGAGAGGCTTTCTGGAAACTAATAAGGTCCAAAATAGCACGGTTAACAACCATAAGCTCCTTTCTTTTATGTCACTCTAGATGGGTAGATTTTGCAAAAGTGGACTTAAGGATATTACATTTCTTAAAAAGCTACTTTAACTGTGCTTTATTTACTGCACGATTAGGAGTTTCACTGTAATTTACCTACACCTTGCTGATTAGATAGAATGTTATTATGGAAAAAATAACGAGGATGAACAGTCAGCACTTGACTATGTCACCCTGGTTTTCACACAAAAGAACAGTAGCGAGAATAAGCAGTCTGAACTTCAGAAGTCCTCCAGCATTACTGGAGATTTCCCAGTAAAGTCGTACAAGATTAATTCATTTTGTCAAGGCTATTTACCTTACTTGGGTGTAACGTGGTGGCTTGATTCCTAATATGGGCAAACGTTATCTTCATTTTACTCAGCCCCAGAATGTCCCAGGCAATCATTAAATAAACATTCATTCTACAACCCCATTCAAGATACAAAGGAAGAACGCTCCAATCTCCCATAAACACCACTTGGGTGGAAAAACTAGAGGGCGCTGTTCTTATTAAACAGGCAAATAACAGCGTAAACATTTGAGTTTATCTTCTTCCTACTCAAAGGGTAAGAAGTTGATAGAACGTTTATCATCACCTGCTGATTATGTAACTCCATCACCTGCTCTGTTTCCATCTGCCTCTCCTCAGCCCCAATCCAGACTCTCTGAAGATGAAGGAAACAGAAGTGGGAATCAAGGGATCAGAGCTATGGGAGCTAGAAGTTTCAGATATCATGTCGCCTAAACTCTCTGTTTTCTACACAGGGAAGCTGGAACACTAACAGGTTAGGAATGACTTGCCCAGACTTTCCACTTAGTAACTACTGCAGCAGGACCCGATTTCCTTCCTCTGGCCCGGTGCGTCCCCTCGTAATCCCACGGGCACCGCTTTATACCAAGGATCAGCAAACTCCTGCCAAGCATGGCCACGTCTGCTGGTTTCAGGACTGTCCTGCTGCTTTTGCCCGGCCATGCGGAGCTGAACGTGGCGTCAGAGAGGGGTCGTCACAGTGGAGAACACGTGGTCTGCAAAGCTGAAAGTGTTCATTCACCATCTTGCCCTTCACAGAAAAGTATGACCAACCCCTGCTTTAGACAGTGGACAGCATGAAATAGGAACCAGCCACTTCTTAATTTCACAGATCCATTCCTACACATCAGCAATCCTCAAGTGTTTTTAGTCTTTACATCCTTCAAAGTTACTGAAGACTCCCAAAGAGCTTTGGTTTATGTGGGTGTTTGCTATCAGTGTTGACTGTATTTGAAGTTGAAACTCAGAAATCTATTCATTTTTATTCATTTAAAAATAATGGGAACAAATCCACCATATTTAAACATATTTCTATAAAAATTAACTATATTTTCCAAAATAAAAAAAATGAGTGAGAAAAGTGGTAGTTATACATGTTTGTAAATCTATTCAATGTTTGGCTTAAGAGAAGAGACAGCTGGATTCTCACACGTGCTGCAACACTCAACTGGCTGCAACAAGTTGTTTTGGTTGAAGCATATGAAGGAAATCTAGCCTCCCGCAGATTATCCAGTTGTAAAAGCGAGGTGTATTTTCATAGCTTTTCCAGGTCATGGTAGATATTCTTTGATGCTACACCAAAACTCGACAAGTAGTAATTTCTTAATGATTAATTGCCATGTAGAGTCTTCACTATACTGTTATCAAAAAAACCACACTCAATATCACCACCAATCTTATCAGAAAAGTCTGAGTACTGGGAAGCTGTCAGCTCACAGTGGCAGATACAAATCTCCCCAAATTCTCATTTCTGAGTGCAAGCTCAACTCCATTGCAGGCAACAAACACTGCCAACAACCGTTTTCCTCGAGCGGAGAGGCTCACTCGGTTCATTTCTGAAAAACCGTCTGTAAATACCTACGTCTGAATAACCACAGTTCACCTGTTAATTGTTCTTTCTAGTAAAAGTGAAAAAAATGGTGGTGGGGGTCAGGGAGCGGCTAGTTGAGTTAGCAACTCAGTCTTACAAGAGCGTTTTCCTCAAGACAACATGACAGTTCAGTCAATGTAAGTGCTTTGTGTGTCCCGCCCACTACGTAAATGTTAAAAAGACACGTACTCGAGAGATTTAATAAAAATATCTACTATCTGGCCCTTCACAGAAAAAGTAATAATTGCACTCTGCTTCATCACAGACACCTTTTTTTTTTTTTTTTTTCTTCCTTCTGGCCGCGCTGCATGGCTTGCGGGATCTTAGTTTCCTGGGCAGGGATCAAACCTGTACCCCCTGCAGTGAAAGCGTGGAGTCTTAACCACCGGACCGCCAGGGAAGTCCCCGTCACGGACATCTTAAGTGAACACCGCATATCCTCTTACTACAAGCGAGTGGCAGTGGCAATGGTCACAGCACAGCGTGGAGTGGCCACTGATGGCCCTAAGGCACCTGCCAATCTATCCCCCCACCGCCCTGCTGTTGCTTTGGCACCATCGATGCAAATGTCACTACAGCGCAGAAGAAAAATAATTTCTTAGCATTATTATAAGAATAGTTTTGACCTTTGGGACTGCCTGAAAGGGTCTTGAATAGCCCCAGGGGTCTGTGGACCATACTTTGAGGACTGCTGCTATAATTTTCTTTGCCATCACTTTGTAAAGGAAATATTCATAGTTTAAAAGAACGTTTTTGTACATAACAGCACTTTAAAAAAATCACATTTAAGTTTTAAAAGTATATGACTGATGGCTTTGAAAACTCAGTCGTCACTACAGCAATATGTCGAATTATTTATGCTTTATAGAACTGTTCCCCTAATACAGGGGTCAGCAAACTACAGCCCATGGGTCAAATCTGGCCCACTGCCTGTGTTTGCAAATAAAGTTTTATTGGCACACAGCCACATCCATTCATTTACGTGTGTGACTGCAGTGGCGGAGCTGAGTAGTTTTAACAGGGAACATTTGGTCCACAAAGCCAAAAATATTACTATCTTGCCTTTTGCAGAAAAAGTTTGCCAACCCCTGTTCTAACAGAAAACACAGATGGTTGAAATGACAAACATTTCAGCAAAATTTGGGTTAATATTATACAAAAAGGAGAGTCTTCAGCTGTTGTTGTTGTTTTTTTTTTTCCCTTGAAGGCTATACACTTACATAAAAGGAAAAGAAAATTAGGGAAAAAATAAAGTTGTTTAGTTTCAGTGCTGTTTCACACGGCAGTGGATCTTACCAGAAGGTTTGCTTGGCCGTCTGAATGACATTGGCCGACATCTCCACATCTATGTAATCATAGTGCAGGGCCCCAGGGTCTGTGGAGGACCCCGTCTCAGCCAGCAAAATCCCAATCCACCTGCCCATGTCTTCAGAAGAAGATGCCTGTTGAGGTGAAGGGGGGGGAAAAGTGCATTTTACTTAAGTAACAGTAAAGAGTTTTAACATTTTCATTAAAATGTCAAAAAAGAGACAACATAACAGGAAAGGCGGTGGAACACGAAGCACCTGAGGATGTAGACGACAAGGAGGCAGCCACTGCCTGAGCCACGGGATTAACACCGCGTCCACTCCAAGCCTTAATGCGGAAGCTGCATAACGGTTATTCCCAAGGAAATAAAAACCCGAGGTCCTAAGATGCCTCCCAATTATTTTGGGGAAAGGCACTAGGGTGGAAGACATGGAAATTAATGGGATTATTTAAATCTCAGCTAAAAGAAGCCGTTTAGAAAGGTTCCTTAATTTGGCAACAAAATCTGGGGAGCAGAAAGGGCCCCTCCAACCATAGCCGCTTAACCTGGAAACCACAGCAGGCCACAGCCCCTGTAGGTCACCAACTCTGGTGACCAGTAGCCCTTGCTGTGGTCTCCTGAATGGGCCTGAAAGGGCAATTTTATTTCCCTGATTAGATGGTACAGAATATTAACCTACTTTCACTTTCATATTAGTTGTGTTTATATAGGTGTAAATGTTTATAATCATTGGGCTGCTTTGTGCATGTCATTCTTTAAGATGCTTGAAATGCTCCCCGGATGTCATCTGCCTAATTTGCAAGTCTGAAATATATCTTTAAGATGGGGTTCATTAAAATTTTAAGCCGTCCTTCTTATGTGATTTAGAAAATCAATTACATTACATTCATGATGGTGTTTCAAATGTCTAAATACTATTGGCTAATCAACTGTCTAAGTCATATTTAAAGTTTAGGGGAAACTGAGCTCTCAAATGGGTGAGTTAACTGAATGTCAAAGAAAAAATAAATATTTAGCTTTTTGCAAAAATCACAAATTTTTAATATAAAGAAAGATCTGTAAGTTTAGCTTTAAGACTTAAAGGAAACTGCGTTTCATCATTATAACCTTGAAGAGCTGAACACTGATCAGAATACAAGTAATCATATACACCCCGTGGCAGGCACAAAAAGCTCTCGGGAGGAAGAGCCACTGACAAGGACGAAGTTGCTTTTTGTGTGCTGATAGGATTGGCTACTGATGCTGTACAAGCAACAGTGTCATATGCGGCCATGGACAAAGTGAATGGATTCCAAGTACTTGCCTTATGGAGAGTAAGAATGTAATCAATGTTTGCTAAATTGAAATGAATTGATTTGAGTGCTTGGATAATAAAAAAAATCACAAATATGTTCTCTTCACTGGTCTTTTGTCCTCCCCCAAACGAAATCTCTGTCAAGAATGGATCTACGACTGAATCTATATCCATGTATCTATAACTATCTCATGTAAGCGTTTTAAAAAGCATGTTAACATAATATCTAAGATGTGGTTGATACTGTTACACTGTTAACTGTTTTCCTCATTGTTTAAGAAATTTCCTCGCAGGCTTTTAAAAAATAATAACTGTGGTGTTGGATTAAAATTAGAAGTATTAGTTACGATCTTGTGGCTTTTAGTATATAAATAGGTATACGTGCAGGTACACACATGTGTGTATGCATATACATGTGTGTAATACGGATAACATAGAAACATGCCTGAATATACGTATGTACAAACATACACATACACACATTTTCCTATGACACCCCAGTAACTCTGAGCACACCCTTCTACCCAGATCCTGGTTTCTAAATACCATCACCCACTAGGAGTTGTCCACTAAGAGCTCTTCGGAACACGGCTGATTCCAAGAGGCCTGGGGCGGAGAAAAGTACAAGATGAGCCTGGAACATCTTGTTGCATCATAACATGAGGGAAGAGCTCAAAGAATGAAGGGGACCGTGGACTGTGGTGTCTTTATTACAGGGACATAGCAAAGGCCACATGGCTTGAAGGGCTTTCTGCTGACCAACTCTGTTCATTTGACCAGGATAAACCATGACAATAAAGGATTATAATCACTGATTAAAACAATAATCTATGAACCCCTGCTGATATACATATATATATATATATATATATATGAATGAATAATTAATTGAGAGAAAGGGAAACCTTCCTTATAGTAGATACTAACTAATAAGTGTAGAAGGAATAATGGAATTAGAAAGTCCCCATTTAGCAGCTGTCATTTTAATAACTGTATCAGGCAAGAGTCATTCACAGATGCTAAGAATCAGTGGGTGAAATTGTGAGTGAGAGGATATTGAAAGAGTCTCAAAGAATCTTCCCACATGAAGCTTATTAAAGACAAACGGGAAACACAGTAACTTTGCAGTGGGGAAGCCAGGCAGACATCCCACCTGAGAGATCAAAGTTAGCATCACCAGTCGTGGGACAAACTGACGGGCGTACCTGCTTAAGTGATGCAGTGTCAAACACACCACTGCTTCCATGTGCCCCTGCCAAGCGTGCCTACCCCAGATTCGAATTTCAAGGAAATGGCAGATACGCCCAAACTGAGGGACCGTCTACACAATAATGGTCCGTACCCGTCCCAAGTATCAATGTCATGAAACCAGACAGAGAAAGCCAAAGAGACTGCAGCTGAATGCAGCACACCACCCGGGGTTTCCTTCCGCTGACAAGGGACATCATTGGGATAACTGGGAAAATCTGATTAAAATCCGTAAGTCAGATAATTGTATTGCATGAGTGTGAATTTCCTGATTTTGATAATTATACAGTGGTTTTAGTAAAGAAATACACTCATTTTGAGCAACTTTACACCAAAGTGTTTAGGGATAAAGGGGCAACACGTCTGTAAAAGGTTCTGAAAAAATTTACACAGAGAGAGAGAGGGAGAGAGGGAGAGAGGGAGAGAGAGGGGAAGGGACCATGCAAGAGATACCAAACATGGTAAAATGTGAGTATTGGGGGAATAGGGGTGAAGGGTATATGGAATTATTTGTACTAGTTTCACAACTTTTCTATAATTCTGAAATTATCTCAAAAGTTAAGATAAAATGGTCTTAGAAAAAGTACAGAATACAACTTTACTGGTCGGATCACTGCATTTCCTAACTGATTCAGGCAAACTCTTTGCTTATGTTGGAACACTGAGTGTGGTTACGTGTGTGTGTGTGTGTGTGTGTGCGCGCGCATGTGTGCGCGTGTTTGATTAATAACTGGAGTAGGGAAAAGGCAATGAAACACAACCACCATTTTTGGGGGATGTGAGGCTGCACCTACAGGGATGGGAGCAAAGACAGGACAGGGCCCTTCTCACCCAGCTCCTCCCCTGCCACTGCCCTCCCCACGGGGGCTCCTGTCACCACCCGGTGTCCAGGCCAACGTCTCACTTTTCACCCCCGAATCCAGCGTGTGCCAACCCACAGCATGTGCCTTCCTGTCCTCACAGCCTCTCTCAGATCTGCTGCCAGAGCTCTCACATGACACCTGAGTTGTTTGCATCAAGAGTACAGTTTCCTCATTTACGTTTTTGGCTTTTTTCCACTCTCATCCACCCTACAGCTTTCAGCCCTCATAAATGCTTACAAAGCACACCGACTCTAGCCCAATGCTCTGTTTTACAGACAAATAAAGAAGCCGAGAGAGAAAAACAGACTGGGTTGTGATCAAAGTCTGCAACAGAACTAGGACTGGGGCCCAGATATCCTGATCCCAGCCAGGCCTGGCCTCTCTTCTGGGAAGTCAGCCACTAGGGCAGGCTCGGCCCTTCGACCTGTTATCTCAAACCATCCAAACCATCGGGCAAGGAGCCCTGTGTGAGAAAGAACTATGTTGTTAATCATCTCTTTGTGTCCCCACCAAAAAAAAGCAGTCTCTGACACTAACTACTATCTCCTACCAAGACCTTCTAGGTTGGCTAAAGGGGCCCCTTTGATCTTGGTCACAAGCCCATGCCCTTTCCCTCACTGGTCAGTGACACTGCAGTCATTTAGATTAGGCTCTGCATCTGATTAATTCAGAACACACATCAGCCATGCCACCAAACCCAAAATATCCTCATTTCTATCAACTGTATAGCATAAATACACTTACACGAACTCCAGAAATTCTACACTCTGATATTTGTGTATGCATAGATATACATATGTACGCGTGTGTGTCTTTGTATCTTAATCATGATAATGCTAAGTGAAAAAAAAAAGACAAAGGAAAAAAGGTCTGAATTAATACTGGGTAGAAATAAAGTAATAGCAGACGATAAGTAAAAATTTTAAATTTCACAAACGAAAGTTTTAAGTGTGTAGCTAAGAAATTAATTTCAATTGCCTTTTTTTGCTTTCGTGAATAAGGAGGCCTGAAAAAGCAGACAACAAAATGCATGCAAAGCCAAGGGTTCTTAAAAACCAAAGGTGTTCTTTTTGTTCTTTTGTAATCTGGCTCTCTGGCCGCTGTCGATAGGCAACTGGTAGTCAAAAAACACCTGCTCCATCTGTGAAGAAGCCCAGAACATTCTAAGGGACACAGCTTGAAGGAAATGCCACCAATTCGGAGGCAGACCACGGTGAGGGGAGAAGTGTTACTGGAAATTTTAAAACAAGTTGTTTTGTGGCCACTTTTAGAAAGCAATCTACTGCCTGGAATTGAGTACTGAACTTCCACGCAAACACAAACAGAGAGGATATCAGACAAGGAGGTGACCTGGCAGGCAGTCTACCGTGGACACTGTGCAGAGAACTGGCTGTGCCGTCCACACAGCTGGGGCCCCTCGGAGAAGAAAAGCAGGACACGTGGGACGCGACAGAACCAAAGCTGCCATCAGCCTGCTGTGAGGACCTGACGGGGCGTCCAGGCCGGACCCTAGAAGGCAAACCACCGCGAGCGAATGCCCCGTGGCTCCCACCTCCAACACAGCCACCTCCTGGCCGTTGCGAAGCAGCCGGAACGTCAGCGGGTGTTTGGAGTCTAGCCCCGGGATGACCTCGCAGCCGCGGAGCGGGATGGAGACGATGTGGGTCTTCAGGTCGGCCCTGTCCTTGTGGAGGATGAGCTTGTTTTCCTTGACGCGGCACCAGCGCTCCCGCCAGCGGCTGTTGGAGAGCACGTTCAGGTAGCCTGCAACGAGAGCAGGCCCGTCAGCCTCCCCAGGAAGGATGCGCCCCACGAGACCGCAAAGACGGAACGAACCCCACACACAGCACGTCTGCAGGTGCAGGCTCCTGGGAGCAATGAGAGCCACCACTGCGAGATGACTGACCTCCATCAGCTCTGGGGGCTGAGACAGGGCAGACCACCCAGGAGCCCAAATGCACTGTGTGATGCGTGCTGAGGACCGTCTACCAGAACCCGGAGCTTGCCCAGTGTACGAGAGGTCACTGAGCCATCAGTGGCTGGCAGGAGAGAGGCTATGAGGACACACTGCCATCCTCAAATAGCTGAAGGGACCTCACCCAGGAAAGGGTTCGGGTTCATCCCGAGTAGCTGCAAATGACACCACCAGGGCAAAAGTGACAAGACAGGCAGATTTTGGCTTAACATGAGGAATAAAACTACCTGAAAATGAAAGCTTTCCGCAAAACAGGCAGCACTGGGAGGTGATAAGTTCCCCACCGCTGGAAGTATTCCAGCAAATGACGGCAAAGCCTCGGGATGAGATTCCTGCCCGGAGGCCAGAGATGCCCCTCCTCAGTGCCCTCTGACGGGAGGATTCTGTCTGACTGCTGAAGTCTAAAGGCCTGAGTCTGATGCGTGTGGACTTTCGTATCCATCTCTCTGAGGCTGCATTACATCCTCAGTGCATTACGGATGGAATGTGATGGAATTACAAGAAGAACTGTCATCATTTTTTTTTTCTTTCTTGCGGTACGCGGGCCTCTCACTGTCGTGGCCTCTCCCGCTGCGGAGCACAGGCTCCGGACGCGCAGGCGCAGCGGCCACGGCTCACGGGCCCAGCCGCTCCACGGCACGTGGGATCTTCCCGGACCTGGGCACGAACCCGCGTCCCCTGCATCGGCAGGCGGACTCTCAACCACTGCGCCACCAGGGAAGCCCTGTCCTCATTTTTAAAAAAAGGAAATCGCCTCAAATACAAGAAACTGATCATTTTCACCTGTCACAAACATACAGTACATTTTTCTGCAAATAACAAGGCATGACAAACAGATTTCATGGGGTGGCTGTGACCTCTGACCAGTCCATAATGCTAGTAAGACGGGGGAAGTGAGTGGAACAGCATATACAGTCCAGGTCAACAAGGAAGAAGTGAAACAAGGATTCCTTAGGTCATTCGGCTGCTCTTTCGATTCACACACACACACACACACACACACACACACGTGCAGCTCAATAAATAAATAAATAAAATCCTTTCTGATCCTGATTTTTTAAAATGTCTTTCCAAAAGGGATTTGGGCGACGCCTTTTGCTTCTTTTCTGTTCTACACCTTACACACTTTATTAGCAATGGATAAATGCTATAAAGGCAAAAACCAAACAAAAACAAAACCCCAAATAGGGGTGTTAGAGGTTCCAGAATGATGCTTTCTATTTTATGTATAGACATTACTATACATAATCGCTCAATGAATTCACTAGGAAAATGCTTATAATACTTAAATGTACGTTCAGGGCTTCCTTGGTGGCGCAGTGGTTGAGAGTCCGCCTGCCGATGCAGGGGACGCGGGTTGGTGCCGCGGTCCGGGAGGATCCCACGTGCCGCGGGGCGGCTGGGCCCGTGAGCCACGGCCGCTGCGCCTGCGCGTCCGGAGCCTGTGCTCCGCAGCGGGAGAGACCACGACAGAGAGGCCCGCGTACCGCAAAAAAAGAAAAAAAAAAGAAAATCAAAAATGTACGTTCAGTTGAATGTAAATCAGTTCTACCAAACTATCCTAAAGGGTACCTGGGACTAAAACTTCAGTTTGGGACACAAGTTGCCATATTTGTAAAATTACAGAGAAAATGGAGAAGTGAGCCCATGAGCTCAAGTGCCTGGGACCTGAAGTTCCTTGCGCTTTGCACAATTAGGAGGGACTGGAGGGAGGCAAAGACAGGCTGGGGAAGCAGAGTTCAGGAAAAAAAGGAGGCTCACACCCTCATCTCCTTCCTTCTTGTTCACGGCTACGCAGCGAAGACCGACCTGAAGCCCTTTGAACAGTTAAAGATGGAAGAGAAAGAGCTGCTGTTTTCATCCTGGGAAATACTATTTGGAAATGACATAGCTCTAATACACTTATTCTTTTTTTTTAAGCTCTACTTAAAACATAGAGTCAAATGTAATATCTGAACATCTGAGTAACAGCTATTAGAACTATTTAATATCTCCGTCTATAAGTCACCAATCACGCTGACGGCCCACACCTTTGGATTTTTTGGAAATAGCTGGCAGCCGGACCCATCGTAAGTATGTTCCGAGCACGAATGGACACACGTGGCCTATGGACAGTATGATGGCGTACAATTAAGAAGAAACAAATGGAAGCATGGATGGCTTTCAACTAACTTAGTCTTCTTGGGCACACAAGGTCGACAGGCGAGTGAGCAGTTTGTAGAAGGAAGCACTAAGGCCCAGGGCACTGATGGGCGTGACCACTGGGGCTGGCAGAGTGGAGGCTTACGTGTGCTCCGGGGCGGGTCCTCACCTGGGCCTTAAGGGGTGGGGGGATCCCTTCAGGCCTGGAGAAGCGGCGAGCGTGGTGAACTAAGACCTGAGACGTCTAGCGACCTGGTCACAGCAAACCTCATAAGCTACTGTAGGGACCTGTCCCTGTTGCAGAAGGTGGCGGGGGTCACGGTGGGGAAGGAGATGCCAAAATGTTTACTGAGGAATTTAAGCACATCTGCCTCGTCAGGAACAGTGAGGGGATTCCGCTAAACTTCCACAGGACTTCTGGATCTCAGAATTCACCACGTGGGTGCACCTGTCCCCAGCGCAGGGGGGCCGCAGCTTCTGAGTACGGCTCGGCCAACCACGCGAATGATGCATCTCCTGAAGAGGGGAAGGTGCTCGTCAGGTTTTCTTCCCTGACCAAGTCACCAAATGCCACGGGTTTCTTGACATGTGAGTCACAAAAGGAATGATTACATTGGACAGATCCACACTTTAGTTAGAGCATGACTTCAAAGGAAATTACCATATTTTAACGCCTTCCTCATAATGAGTTACAGTTGCCCAAAAGGGAAAAGCAAAACGAGAATCACAGTGGGTAACAGGCCTGTTTCTGATAACAGCAAACGCCACGGACACAAGCCCACATCTGGCACTTGGCCTCCCCCCACAGGCTCACCGCCTTCTCCGAAGAGGTGGCCGAAATTCCTACTTTCTGGGTAGGGACCCCGGATGAGGGAGAGACCACGCAGGGACATGGCAGGCAGCTCGCCGAAGTACCCTGGAGTCAGAGGGCAGGTCCCATGTCCCCTAATATTCTTTCTCCCCGCCGCGACACGTCTAGGCTGTGATGGGATCCCTGCCGACACAGGACCCCGTCAGCCCTGAGACGATCGGCCTGAGCAGACACCCACCACCAGGTGGCACCAAAGAGCAGCCGGGCCCCTTCGCAGGCTCGCCTGGGTCAGGTCAGCGCCCTGCTAATAAGGTGATTCCAATATCATTTGATTTTTTTGTTTGTCTGTTCCCACCTATCATGTTACGGTGAGACGTTACGGTATCGTAACCATCGGGGAATTTCGGTTTGATGTTCTGAGGTTATCTTTGCTCCGAATTCTAAAGAAAGAACTCTAAGGCCTCTTGCAAAAGCTTGGTGACAAGTGTGTATGAGGTTTCATGAGGACGGCCTGAGGCTGACCAAACACACACAACCACAGGAGGAGGGAACAGATGTGAACGCTCCCGCGGTCAGCTGCGTGGGGACCTGACGCCTCTGGCCCAGCAGCTGCAGACGAGCAGACAAGGCCGCCTGGCGGCAGCAGGGCCCACATCCCCTGACTTCTTCTCTAGGACGGGAAGGGCAGCGTCTCCTGTGCTCTGGTCACACTTTTGTGAGGACTTTCACTGAATTGCTCATCTCATCTTAGCCAGCCTCAGACTGTGATCGGCTGAGAGGAAAGGGGCTGCTGAGAGCTTATCCCCACCCTGAGACGCCGAAACCCTCCCTTCCACCAGAGGCACGCGCCCTCCAGTGGGCACCCAAAGAACCCGAGACGCCCTTGACGTGGTGACTTACGTCAAGAACGCGTCCCTCCCCCTTGATTAAATGTCACCTAACCTTTTGTCGGGTGGATTACGACAGAAAGTGAGAGGCATATAACTTTCCTGCACATCCACCAATAATCCTACTGCTGAAAACTTCACAAAGTCACTGACCATTACAGCCAGAAGGGGTCCCAGAAATAACCAGAAGGTCCTTCCAACGGGCCCAGGTTACCCTGCCTTGGGGAGCCCTCCATCCTAGCAACTGGGGACCACTCCTTTCACTCAGCTTCTGTATTTCTATTATCGATATTTTCAATGCCACTCATCGGGCAGTGCCCTCAGGTCGGCTTGACTGTGTCTGGTACGCTTAGGTGTTTTTCAGGTGAACAAATGAATGATAATAGCGACCATTTACTGAGCATAAATTATGAAGTAGGCAATGAGCTTAATGTTTCCTGATTTTATCCTCAATTCTAAGGAAAAGAAAGTAGTTTAAGTATAAGCCTATTTCATAGGTGGGGAACCTGAGGCTCAGAGAAGTGTGCGACTTGCTTAAGTTAATTCATTCAATTAACAAGTGTTTACTGAGCTATTATCCACCAGGCTGTGTGCTCAGTGCTGGGAACACAACTGGTGGGTGAATTCGACCTACATCTTAATCCAGTAATGAGAGGAACAAGCTGGAAAATTCAGTGAGACAAGATTGTTAGAGGCCCTGAACAGACTGAGCACAAGATGATACAATTAGTCCAAGGTTTCAAAACCCCCACGGGGTGGCCTGCAGGGATCCAGAGGAAAAGAAGGTGGACAGTTGCGAGGCTTGTGGACGAGTCCAAACAAGAGACAGAAACGGGCTGGGGAAAAGAGAAAAACGTGAAAGGCATCTCCTGATGCCTTTATACAGTGACAATACTTCCGGAACTCCTGAGCACTGGAGATGGGAAAATAAAGGACCCATCTTTGCTTAGGGGTTTGCGTGCAAGTCTAGGATCATCTTGTGCAAGTGGCTGTTTGTGGAGTGGAGCCGGCTGGTGCTAAGCGCAGCACCCGCTGGCTGAGGGCCCGAGAGAGGGGTGACAGCCAGGCAGGACAGGCGGAGCGGGGGGCTGGTGTGGGCGCCTCTTCCCACCCCGCCTGCGGGAAACCTGCAGAGAACCCTCTCCTACCTGCCGGCATTTCTCCTGCACACCCAGAGCCCCAGCTGACCGGGCTGCATCTCCCAGAAGAGCTGGGATTTGGACTTAGCTCCCAGTTGCCCTGGGGACGCTCTCATCTGTGCCCCGTCCGCTTGGCACTCTGGGCAGGATGGGGGTCTTGGGCCTTCATCCAGCTACCTTTCCTGCCTGAGACTTTGCAGCTGTCCTAACATAACTGAAGACAGTCATTCTCCCCCTCGATTTCTCCACAGACTCCTCCCCCGTCCCCTGGCCCAGCAAAGAACTAGATGACAATTTTAAAACCTTGTGCACAGAGGATGTTCTCTTAGTGGAGGCGAAAGACATCCACCGAGAGCCTGGCAGAAACCCTCAGGCGATGATGCGGGGATGCAGCTCCACCAGGCCTTCTCTCTGAGCAATTCCACTGTGCCTTCAGGCCAAGTGCCCACACAGCTGTTTATTAGGAGTCACGAGGGTGGCGAGCCCTGGGGGACGGGAGGGGGACGGGGGAGACCTGTGCTTCAGGACAGCGACAGGGTTGGCTGGCGGGCCTGGCCCTGTCCCCAGCTGGCCATGTGACTCAGGGCAAGTCCCACGACCTTCCCGAGTTCGGTGTCCTCATTGTAAAATGAGGGGTCTGGACCACAGTTGCTAAGTTGCCTTCCATATGAATGTTTAATTGTTTTTCATGAAAGAACCTCTATTTCCTTCGCTGACCTGGCGCAGTTTTAAGAAAAAAAAAAACCCAAAAAACTAAAAAAGGAGTTCCCTTTTTGTTGGCTAATTCCCTCTTTCCATTTCTAACCCCTGACTCCTATCTCCTCTCCGGGGCTAATGCCAGAAGGAAACAACCGCAGATCACCCAGTGCTGCGAGCCGCTCCAGGAAAGGCAGAGGGCCACAGGCCCCCGGCATCCACAGCCCCCCTGCAGCTGCCCTCCCGCCAGGGCTCTGTGCAGCTGGCTTAGCTTCCGCAGGGCGGCTGTTCTCAGTGGAGATAGCATCAGTCAGCGTGCTTCTGTGACCCCACTGCCGTCGGACCAGGGGCAAGTTCACGACCTCTGCATGCACAGGGGCTCCCAGACCGCTGGCCTCCATTTACGGCCACCATCTCCCCTCCCAGCTCAACCCACAGGCGGCCGCTTCATGGGGGCTTCCCTGGGATGACACCTCAACCCCGAGAGGCCTCGACCACTGCCCGCCCAGCCATCTTCCACTCCACACACACTTCTGCACAGCACCCCAGGGGGGTTTCTGTGTCACCAAAAGTCTATCACGACTTCCTAGGATCACACCTGTGAGGAGCTGGGCGTCCACCCTGCCCTCCCCTCGGGAGGCCCCCCACCCCAAGTCTACCTGCGCTGCACTCCACAATCGACCCTTCCCGCCCACCGGCACAGCTCTGAGCTCACAGCACCCTTTCAGCACATGCCACACCCTGGGACGTGATATCGGCTGAATAAATGCATTTTTGCGTGTGTGGCCCAACTCAGGCACTAACGGGCAGCATCTAAATGCTGTTGTCTTTTGGCATCCTCAGTAACCCAGAACCGTGGACAGAAGAGATGCTCAATGAGAGAGGGAAAAAAGAGAGAGAGAGGGCTTCCCTGGTGGCGCAGTGGTTGAGAGTCCGCCTGCCGATGCAGGGGACACGGGTTCGTGCCCCGGTCCGGGAAGAT